GAAATTCCAGTTTGGGAAGTCCGAAATAGGAATTCCGATTTGGGATATCCCAAGTTTAACTTGGGACATGGTGACGTATATGCTACAACATAGCTAAAGAATACTACGAAAAAATAGGACAAGGAATTATGTAAAATGAAAAGATCTTTTTCATCTCTAATTATTTATTATAAATTATTATTAGAAAATTTTAATTTACTGCGGAATTTCAGTTGTATTTTTTTTTTTACACTTTTTTTTAAAAAAAAAACTTAGAAGATACGAATTTGTTGGTTTTTTTTTAATTAATATCAATTATGGTAAATTCTTTACCTGAAACTTATTGCAGCGCAGTGGAAACGAAAATGCTAAAATATATATATATTTTTTTTTAGATTGTTGGTCAACCGTAATAGAATTTCCCAATATTTTTAAGAATTTTTTTTATCATTAAATAAACATATAATCATTTTCATAATTTGCTTTCAAGATGACATAAACCGTTACGAACTAAAGGTGCACAATTTATTAACTATTGGATTAAAGGTCTAATTAATACACGAAAGAATTTATATTTTAAAGCATGCTGGATCGAACCATAGATTTTAATCCACACATATACTGAATAGATTGAATTTCCAATTTTTCTATTTCAATCAAGAAATCCATAAAAATATTTTTACGAGAGTATATTGAAACTTTGCTGCTAGCATTAAAGGCATTGGACAATAACTCAGCATTGAATGAGATATTTTTTAGGAGCGGTTCATGCCTGCCGGCACATGAACTAATCGTTAGTCTAGCATTGTTACGGCTTGATATGCGCAATATTATTTCATCTACACCTGCATACGATAATTATAATTGTCATTATCGTACAGTTCATATGACCATAACGTGATATAAAAATTCTCTATCGTGAATTTGGAGAATTTTATTGCTTGTTAAAAGGTATCGATCAGTAACAAAATAGGTAAAACAATTGTCTTTATTTTTACAATTGCAGTCATTACAAATCGGAATCGCAAGTATCCAATATCATAGATTCTTTATGTAAAGTATTTGACAAAAAAATTCAAAAAATTAATTTTTCGTAAGATTTATTCAAGTCACTTATCGTGAGTAACCCTCTTTCAAGATTGAATACGAGAGATAAATTACAATCCTACATGGTAGCCATTCTTAGTCGATTGAGATTGTAATATAGTTTCAATCATTATTTACTACTGGTTCAATGATCAGTTTTATTACTCATATATATATTTTTATTGTAGCACCAGCCGTTGGATTCATTGTCGAAGGCTAAGTCGACTGTAAAAATCAAGTAGAGTCGACTCCGGAATTTCAATGACTGAGCTGTGAATGAGTCGCTATTCCAAATATTTAATGTCAGTATATTGTGAAATTTTCAAATAAATAAAACTTACTAATTTTTTAGTCGAATGAATTCTGACAACTTTATTTATAATAAATAGAACTTAATATTAGATTTAATGTTAATAATACAATTATGGTGGCTAGTTATAGTAGACATTTTTTTGTTAAGAAACGAATGAATCATGGAGTTTTAAATTGTTTTTATTATAAGTCAAAATCCAAATTTTAGGCCAAAAAATGGCCAAAAAAAAATTTTTGGCCGGCCAAATGCCAACACTGTCTTATGGATATGACTGCAACGACGTTAAACATATATTAACTAAAGTTTTTTGTCCTGCTCTATTTTTTTTAGACGTGGATTCAGCCTTACGTGATGGTAAGTATCGGTAATTTTTTTTTTTGTTGTCTCGGTTTAATTATGGATTCTAATTTTCACGAAGATATGTTTCTTGGAATAAATGAAAACCTTTTTTCATAGTATTATGCATAATATTAACAAATTTATTAAAAAAAAAAAAATTTTTTTAATTCTTTTTCTGATTAAATAAAATAAATCCTTTTTTTACATGCATTTTTAATTTTTTTGTTTTATAAATTTATTTAAATGTGTACTATGAATCAATGAGTTAAGTACCCCGACCGTTCGCAACTCTAGTTATATAGTATTTTACAATTTTCGAAAAGTTTTTAAAAAAAAAACCCCCAAAATCAAAATCAAAATTAATATACAGTATGCAAAATTTTATTTGTGAATTCATAATCATTTCCATTTTTTTATCTTGTATAAACTGAGGTTTCCTTTTAAACTTTATTGTTTTAATACTAATAATAATATCAAAAATTGTAATAAATGTATACTATGTAAGCTAAGCCTTTTTTGGAAGTCCTACAGCCGCAGTCTTAGAAAGCACAAAGGATATTGACAAAGAACATGAAAAAATGTATGTATTGTTGAATCTCGTATCACATTGCCTCGGGCTGTGCTAAATTCGAGTTTCATAACAGCGTTGTAACACCAAATCAGTAAGCGCACAACATGACATGTATAAAAAAATAAAGTATAAAAAAGGTTAAATTTTTTTTTTTAAAAAAAAAAAACCGAATTTTCCTTTAATTTTTCAAAACTATAAACAAATCAAATCAAACAGACAAAAAAAAAAAAAAAACAAAGAACGAATTTCCTCTTCTAAAATTACCACACCTATCACACCTATGAAGGATATAACTATAATGATGATAACACCAATCACCTCAATTAATACAACATATATTAAAAACCTTGTTTGTGAAACGTTAAAACACGAACAGATGAAGAATGTGTTGAAAGGAACTACAAAAAACATTAGTATAACAAGAGGACTAGAATATTTTCATGGGAATGGTCTCATGGAAATATGCATTAGGGAAATATTTTAATTTGGGGTTTATTGGAGAGTGGTATCAGATATAAATTGCTTTTAATTGTAACTGGTCTCGTTATGTATTCATAAAAATTTTCATAGTGGAAATATCTTTGGTTGGAGATTTTTTCTTGGTTACGCGCTTCGGATTATATGATATACTATATCTCATAACTAGATTTTAATAGCAAACGACCCACATTCATTTTTATCACATCGGTTTAATTACTTTAAATGAAATCTTTTAAATGACTTGAATTGTAATATTTAACTGCTTACTGTACAATTAAATTGTTACATTTGTTTAATTGCAACTATTAAAAATTCTTTATTCGATTTTTCAATTCTTCATGAATTCATGAAATACTTTATTGAGGTTACAGTTTATCACATAAACGTCAATTATTCGTTAGTTTTTAAATGACAACCTTTAAAAGACTAATTAAAAAAATAAAAATAAAAAAGTCATGTTCTAGTAACGAACCTTATTATCGTATTATAATTTTATTTTATTATTATCTTTCTTTACTTTTCTTCAGTACAGGTCAAGTAGCGGACGAAGTAGCGAGTGGATGGATTCGACGTGGGATACATTTGTGTGAGCTTCATGAAAGTCCTCAAGAAATGGCTCGATAGCACACTCATGGATGTGGTTTTTGGGTAGTCTGCTTTTTCAGGTGTAGGAACCTTCCCTTACGGACCAATCAAACTGCTTGGAGTCTTGCCATCGCAAAGATTTTTAAAGAATTAGAATACTATTATAATTTTAATTTTTCCAAATGTATCTAATTAAGTATTACTGTTAAATTTCCAGAACTTCCAATTTTGTACTAAAGCTATGATTAGCTTATGCACGAGCAAGCATCACGAAAATTCAGTACTGGATTTCTCCACCTTAATCATCATAATCAAAAGTTAAGCCAGGTACGAAAGTTATATTCTATAATTGTATATAATCGAATGCTAGACATCTCACAAATATTTGCTCGATTTTATTTGTAATAAATGAATAGATAACGGGTCGGGTCATGAAGACAGTGTTTAACTGTACAGAATAACAATATTTAGTACGTTAAGAGATTTATTCACAAAACGAACAATAGTGACAATCGAAGAAGTTTGCAGGAGGAAATGAACATGAACTGAATGTGAATTATGATGAAGAGAAGGTGGTCGACGGTGGTTGTTACAGCTAGTGAGTAGAGTGCAGATAAATCAACTTAATGGGAGTTAGGGATGTTAAACGGTCCCAAATGATTGTAAACAAATATAGAAATTACGAGTTATAGAAAAGTCTAATAGTTTATCTATAATAAGTAACTCTTGATAAAAAATTGTAATAATAAATTTTATGAATAACTTTTAAAAGAAATATGAA